AAGTTCGATGTTATGTTACTGTCCCTATCCAATCACAGTGAAAAATTCATAAAAACTGAAGCAATTTATGTGCTGTTTGTAATCTGAACTTGTTTGTTTTATTTAATAATATGCACATAGTGAAACCCAGAGACCCAGAGACAACAGCGGACTTGATGACGCCACTACTAGAGAAGGTGTGGAAAGAGGGCAAAGTACCCGAGGATTGGAAGAACGGATACTTATTCAAACTGCCAAAGAAAGGAGATTTGAGTCAATGTAAAAACTGGCGTGGAATTATGCTTCTGTCCATTCCAAGCAAGATACTATGTCGCATCATCCTGGAGAGAATTAAACAAGCCCTAGATGAAAAACTTCGTCCGGAACAGGCCGGATTCAGGAGGAACAAGTCATGCATTGATCAAATCGCCACACTACGGATTATCATTGAACAAAGTTTGGAATGGAAGTCACCTCTCTATCTCAACTTCATCGATTTTGAGAAAGCCTTCGACAGCGTCGATCGAGAGGTGATTTGGCAACTACTTCGCTACTACGGGGTGCCGCCGACAATTATACATCTCATCCAACAGCTGTATGACAACGCTGCATGCCAAGTAATCCACAACGGGAGGCTCACGGAATCCTTCGAAGTGAGGACGGGAGTGAGACAAGGCTGTCTACTGTCACCAATGATCTTCCTGATTGCAGTTGATTGGATAATGCGGCAGACAACGGCAACCAACGAGGGAACAGGCATAAAATGGACCGACACAAAAGCCTTGGAGGATTTGGATTTCGCCGATGATATATGTCTGATTTCCCACAAACTGGAAGATATGCAAGTGAAAAGCAACAAATTGGCAGAAGAAGCAGCAAAGATAGGACTTCAAGTGAACATAGACAAAACAGAGGTAATGAAGATTCCTGGCCAACATCAACAGCAACAACCGACAACAATCAGCATAAACGGGAGGAACCTGAAGGAAACAACTTCTTTCACCTACCTGGGAAGCATCGTCTCAACTACAGGAGGAACTGACGAGGATATCAAAGCCAGAATCGGAAAAGCAAGACAAGTTTTCATTTCTCTCAAGTCTATGTGGAGGTCAATAGCATTCAGCGTCAAAAATAAGATCCGGATTTTCAACTCCAATGTGAAGTCAGTACTACTATACGGATCAGAGACTTGGCGTGTCACAAAGAGCAGCTCAAACAAGCTACAGACCTTCATTAACAAATGTCTTCGCTCAATACTCAAGATCAAATGGCCGGAGAGGATCAGCAACAAAGATCTCTGGGAGCGAACCAACCAGGAACCGATCGTGAAACAAATAGGCAGGAAGAAATGGAGATGGATTGGACACACTCTGAGGAAACCAGCAAGTGACATAACTAGACAAGCCCTCGAGTGGAACCCGAAAGGGAAGCGACGAGTTGGTCGTCCAAGGGTGACCTGGAGGAGATCATGTGAAGAGGAATTGAAAGCGTGTGGGCAGACTTGGAGCCAGGTGAAAACTACAGCAGAGAACCGAACGCAATGGAGACGCATGGCTGAAGCCCTATGTTCCTCTAGGAATTAAAGGAAATAATAATATAATAATAATACATAGTGAAAAGGTCTGCATAAATCCTTCTTGCTGAAGAATTCATAAACACGTGATCTCAATTGTAGGAAAAAAAGTCTGTCATTAGTAGCCTGCAATATTCCGGAAAACTGCTTAATAAAATTTCAAGCTGACAAAGTACTTCAGTAAGTTTGAAGCATGGGAAAAGAGTTTTCATCAGTAGATGAGATATAAGCCTTAATAGCAGCTTTAGCAATGTTTATTCGTAAGCGGTTGTGAACAAATAGTTTACTTTCAAAATAGTATTAAAACAAAAGGTCTACTAGTACATGTGTCTTGTGTTGATGTGAATTTAAGTAACGGCTTAAGTTATCAGACTCAAAACGGATGTCACTGCGTAGACATTCAAAATCTCTACTCGCTTAGTCATAGTTCTTAGTTGCTAACTTCTATTTAACTTCATTTACTTCACAGAGGGGTCCGCCAGTTATTTCTTAATAGAACCAGTAAGTGTTAGAGTAAAGGATAGCTCTAAAATACATCACCAACAGAATTTTCTACTGTTCACCTAATATTCATACAATTATCTCCTAAAAACGCAAATTACGGTTGAAAGTTAGGTCCCAAATAAGCGTCATTTAGAGAAACATATAAAGTCAAGGAGTGGTGAAGGAAGTTTTCGTTCTACTTTGTGCTTATTCAGCAATACACACTCACAACTCGACTGGAGATTGATGCCAAAACTTGCATGTCAGAAGGTGATTTTGCTAACGAGTCAGTCACTGTGACGGTTTCCGAGGTTTACAGACTTACGACCCCAGCCACCGACGAATACCTGTCCTCTCAGTAGATTTTGTGGACACAACTGGTCACTAGAAATACAGGCAATCAAACTCTTAGTCAGATATTAGTGAGTAGTAGATTAATTTTCAAGTGCTGGTTTGCAGGGATCTGATTTATGTCATGGCTACTTGAATTCCCAGACAAACAAAGTGCCTCATAATTTCTCTAATTCCCATCGTTTTAACCATTTGGTTACGCATTTTAGTGGTAAAGTTTATTCAGACACATTTTTATTTCCTTTTAAACTACTGATTTCGACATATTTCTCGGAGATGAATGGAAATTTTCATGAGGGATTAGTCTATGGTTCAAATCAAACAGCATTATATCAGATGATATACCATAGATTGATATTTATAAAACACAAAATAATCGAGCAAAGAATATTCTTTTCGATGAATTCCTCTTCCAGGCTCTACAATTATATATATGTTTATATACACAGAATATTTTAAATTAGTAGTTAATAACAATATTAGCGTTTTTTAAATAATATCGATTTGTAAAGTATGATCAATGCTGTTGCAGTTCATTAAAGATGTTTAAATTATAATAATAAAGTTATAACAGCGAATAGAATATCAACTAAAATTAGGGAAATTTCACAAAATTCTGGATTATTCAAACCTGGATGGCCAAGGTAATGATAATGACTGAACTAGCTTCTTTTGGGTGCATAAATTAGGCTTATTAATATGAATCCCCACAGCCTCAGCAATATTTAGAAGTCGAACTCTTAAAGCGAAACTGAGATTAGTAGGTATGCGCTAAATGACCCTGAAAGCATGATTAACATCAATCTTGTGTTCTGTCTCCACAAGATGAGCCAGAATAGCGCTGCGAATAGATTTTGTTTGACCTTTGCTTAACCAGGCAGGGTGATGTTCGGAAATTCGACGAGAAACACGCCTAATTGTACGGCCTATGTAACTGGCTCCACAGGAGCAGTTAAACATATATATAATTGTAGAGCCTGGAAGAGGAATTTATCGAAAAGAATATTCTTTGCTCGATTATTTTGCGTTTTATAGATGTCTGAATGAATATCTTTGCAAGATTGATATTGCACACAAGGTAATGTTTTCCACGTGACAATATTTTAAACAAACTCTGTTGGGCATCAGATAAAGCAGACTTGATAAATCAATGTGTTAAGCTCTGACTTTATCAGTATTTTTTTCGAAAATGAAATATATAGACGAAATTTAAGTTTGGATGCATTTAAATTTGCTATATCTAGACATATGTGTTCACCTTAACTGTATGCTCTAAATCATTTGGTAAGGATGGCGAGTATTTTCAGTAGTTAAAAAGTGATTTGTTTTGAAAACATTTCACCCTCATTATTCATTCCCTGTGCGCATAATTTGGTTTTCGACAGGTGTTTTGTAGACTTCTGCTACTATCAATCTATCGCAAAAACAACGTTATTTGATTAGGTCATCCAATCTCTCTCTCTATAAAAAAGTTACACAATAATTAGCAGTCATTATATTCGCGTGGATAATTACGTCTATCAAAACAATTTGGTTGTATTAAGTAAATTGTTATTGTCCAGTGTTAATACTAGCTGTTTGTTTAAGCAGTCTATACACACTGAAATGTTATTGTTTACATTGTTAGATGTTCAGTGGTTGTTGGACATCTTGGCAGATTTAAATTATCTTGATAACATTTATTATTAGTATAGGGAATTAAAAGTACTTACTGATGTAACTAAACATGAAAAAAACTGTAAGACTTTAACGCTTGGGTACTCATTGTTCGCTAGGGGAACCTAATGATATATCCTGCGACTAGGATTTGGAGAATTCGTAGCCCTTAACCAGTTAATAAAAGAAATCACTGTTTTCAGGGTGACATTACTCGCGAATGACCACCTTGTACGCCCTATAGATGAACAAATAAACCCCCTGAAAACAACAAGAAACACCCTATCTCTATGCCAGAGAAGATGCTATACATGAATGTCTCATTCTAAGGCGACCTTCTGGTCGATAACTCAAAGAAGAGAATATCTAACGCCCTGAAAAAGAACTTTCTCTACTGCTACATAATGATCGATATTCTCTAGCCATTCGTTGTTCTTCAACAGCTGTAAAGATGAACTGTCGCATGTGACCACTTTTGTGTGTATCTACCCATTTATTTGCTCCTCCAGATCGATATATATATATATATTGGTGACTCGATGAGTGTTTTACCTAAAAGAATCAAAGAATATTATCCTGCTTGGCTACAAGTAGGTAATAGAGGACCAATACAAAGTGTTATAATTCAGCATGTATTCAACACTGGTCGCTCAACATGCAAGGCGGATTCAGAGTTATCTAAAAGGTTAAAAGAAGCCTCTCGAAAATGGTAAGCCTCCATATGCTTTGTATCACGTAAGACTAATCCATTTGAGTCGAAAACTCTGGTTTATACGCATAGAAGAAACTCTGCCATCCCTTCCTCTTACCTTGGGTATAGTTTCAAGTTCAACGCTTATCATTATTTTGTTATTATTACGAGTGTGTGCATTTTTCGTATGACATTTATTATCGTCACTTTTTCCTTACTAACCGTCTGTCTACTAGCTTCACCTTCTTACATAATTTATTCCAATACCTGTCTCCATGATCTTTCATCAGAACCATATTTTTATGAACACCTTCGTATTATGTAACATTAGTTTAAACTTACAATTCTTCATCCTTGGTTACAATTTTGATTATTCATCACAATTTTGAAATATTTTGACGATGTAAGCGAAAACCTAGTCTTGTTCGATAAACCCAAAATTATTACTTATACTGGTCACAGGATTTCATCAGGAGCCGAGATTGGTTAGAGAACCCTTGAAAAACCTGGGAGTACTGGACAAATACTTGCCGAAGACATTAGCTAGCAGTCGCGATGTGTCGTCAATTGGCAGAAGTTAGAATTCATGGGCTGCCCATTGGATAGGGTCCCAGTGGCTTAATGGTCTACTAGCTAGATCGCTTTGTAACTGGAAGGTCTTGGGTTCGAGCTCTGTATTGTGGGTGCGTACTGATGAAGAGTCCAAAACTAGGCTAACAAAACAGCTGTCCAGTACTCCCAGGTTTTCCAGTGGTTCTCTAACCAGTCTCAGCTCATTATGAAATCCTGGAACCAGTCGAAAACTATTTGCTGAATTGTTCGTTCCTATTTAAATGTCTGGATGGTTATTTATCGAGGACTTATAATTATATCCATTTAGAGTTACTTATTATACATGTTGTTATATTAAGGTGCACTATAAGTGTAGCAGTATAGAGTTCAAATTCCAAGAACCTGTCAATTTTATGCATATTCTTGTTATGTTTTTTATATTATATGCATCAAATAGCACTCAATAGCCACAATTACAATGAAACGATATAGATGGTATATGAGCACTGAGATTTTCAAAACCAAAATTTCCCCATTTATGTCTAAACCAAGTTCACTTTCAAAAGTTTAAAAAGTTTGGGCATTCGGTATACGATATTTATCATTATAAAAGTTTTTGTATTTCCCAATAATTGTAAAACAGAACAGACACTCTTCTTTTTGCTGAAGTCCTGCCATTTAATGCTGCTAATAGCTTTATCAAAGTATTATTAAATCAGAATTTACAAAATCTGATTTTGTGTATAAAATCTTAATCATGCTTCTCCAGGATGAGGTAATTTTTACGTTATCAAGTTGGCCAATCGGTAAAGACAACAAAACCAAGCGTAGATTGATGTGATAAGTGTGAAAAATTATAAAAGCAGTATGCGTTTGCATAATGAAATCGCTTATCAAATTCGTGTTGAGTTTTTCATTTAATTTGTAACCAGCTCAAATTCTGTTTTAGTCCATCATTCCTATTCAAACAATTTGGATTCCAGTTGAAATGAAGTGCTTTTGATATTAGACGTTTTTTGCATTTACAAAATTTTTCTGGATGATTTCGATATTGTCAAGATCAGTTTTGTGGCCTGATTCTATAGCCGGTAGACCTATGGCTGATGATTTTTCAAGCTTTTCTAGTTCAGCTGGGTTTCTTGGTGGTCAAACAGATGCTCTACAAAGTTCATTTCCTTTGATTTTGATTTCTGTCCATATTTAAGCGGTATATATAGAATAACATTAGCATTAAATAGCGGAATGTCAGTATAAACAATATTGTTTTGTCTTTCAGTCACTGGGATATACAGAACTTTTGTAATAATGACCAAAATATCCCTCTTAGAAAAGTGGGAATAAGAAGAATTAATCACATCTGAAGAATTAAAAATACTTACCAGACATTCAGTGAGAAACAATAACACGAATAAACAACGACAGGTTTTATTAGTTCAGCATCGATTGAATTTCGTGAATTCTGAATGCTGACATACATAATGGCACTAATGGTCTGTATTCCGAGTTCATAGTGCTTAGCCAGATGACATTGAAGAACACAGCACAAACTATGCACTTGAAGGATCCAAGTGTTCGAGGATTTATACAAAACACAAAACTTTGGGAGGGGTATAAGTATAATGAATATGACTTTATAGTGAGTTTATCTGATAAATGTTAAATTCTACTCTAACACATGATTAGTATCTTAAAGGCAGAGTGGCGAAATATAGGTATCTAGTAAATTTACTTCAAATACTGACTTTAAAGCATCACCCTTCAGTGTTGGGAAACCAGTCCCCTCTACTTCAGCCCAAGGCGATTAGTTAATATCATTTCGCAATTTGCAAATTAATTAGCAATTTACGGTTTAAACCCTGGGAGGAGATGAAATTTCACTACAGTTTATTTGGGAAACCAAAATTATTTAGATTACAGTAAATTGTCTGCTTGATCTCACAAATGGTAATGAAGAAAACAAGCATAAATGCATGAAACTGTACACACATACATGCACACATATATAAACTTTGAACTGTGTAAAGTGAAAATTAATTTGCTAATTGCGATTTCAATTTATGATGTTACCGGTTGTCCCAAGTGGCTGGATAGAAATCAGGTGTGTTTTGAACCGATTCAGATCTCTGAACTAGATCAAATTATTCACACTGCTGATTTAAACTCGAGCTCAAATGAAAGATAAAGCAGTCCAGTGTGTAGACCACTTTAACCTGGCTGGCTAGAATATACTGGTTCATGTGAGTAACAAACAACTTCGCATCTCAACACAATCCCTAGTATTTACTTTTAGGTATTATCAGGGCTAAGATCTGAAAAAGAACTTTTATCAAGGAAGTAACTTTTCGGTGGACACTGGTTAGTGACTCGTATTGTGTGTAAAGTCCTATGTTTGGTGCACATTGAATTCAGTTATTCACGCTTACAATCTAACCAGCATTCTAGGCGGTTCGCCATCACGGTGCAGATACACCAGGCTGACTGGTGAGTGCCAACTAGCACGAAACCTAGGTGGAGGGCTTCCTTACTATTCCACACAACCACCCAATATCAAAAATTTGAAGTGATGGCAAGCCAGCTAGAATGGTATCCACACTGCAGACTTGACTGACAGAATTCAGTCTGCACCAAACAAAGGACTAGATACACTACACCAGTTGCTAACCAATGTCTAATCAAAGTATCCAGTACGGTTCTACAGGAAGTCAGTCATGAGCCCGAATAGCTCAATGGTAATGCCTCTGAGAACAGCACTTGCTGATGCGTGTTCAGTTTTCAGAAGTAACATGAGTTCCTTCAATAATGCACATATGCCTTGCTGACTGGTGAGTGCCAGCTATCCTAAAGCCTTGGTGGAGGGTTTCCTGCCGATTGCCTCTAACCATGCAATATCAAGGAAGTAACTATTAAGTGCACTGCAATTACTGGAAAAAAAATCTACTGTCTTCAGAATTTTATCAATTTTAGGTAACTATTTTGGTGCACTACAGATTTTCCTTCAACTAAATTAAACCATGAATATAAAATATTCTGGTATCGTCCATATTTATAAATGAGTATCCATAGATATGCAATACACATTATGGAATATAAAATGATGACTATCTTATTTTATCTTCCATCAGTGAATTTCTTATTTGTTTATATTAGCTTATTTGCATTTGATTATCAATTGGAAGAAACAGATACTTAAGTAAGCCATATAAACAAACCAAAAAGTATATCAAAAGTTGGTTTAAACACATCCAGGTTACTATTTTGGTTACAGTAGTATTGGTATTGGTAGCAATAGTAGTAGTGATAATATAAATTCACCAACAGTGCAGAGGAAGCAAATGAAGCACAGAATTCCTGTTTAACTAAAACTATCATAATACTTCAGGCAGAGAAAAATGAAGCAGTTCAATCTTAGACTTCCTCGTCGATTGATTGAACCAAAGTGCTCAGTCTCAGGTTGACATGTCGGCTTCTTGTGCAGATGCTTCGACAATGTCTGGGCATGTAATTAGAATTTAATTGGTGGTTGTTGACTAGCAGTCGTATCCAGGATGCACGTTTCTTCCTGTTCGCGACCCATCATCTGGATGTATCTGCATTCCGGAGTGGGTGATGATGTTTCCATCGAGGCTCGAACCCAATGCTCATAGTTTAAAACGCCAAAGCGTTATTCGCTATACCACTTGGGTCACGAGAGCCACCTCTTGTGCAACAGATCATAATAATTATTTAATTCAATTTCAGATATGTCAACCTGAGACCCGGCATTTCGGTCCAACCAGTCGACGGAAAATTCGAAAATTCAATTAAATAATTAATATGACCCCTTGCACAAGAGGTGGCTCTCGTGGCTCAAGTGGTCTAGTGGGTAACGCTCTGGCATCTGAAACTATGGGCACTGGGTTCGAGCGTCAATGGGAACATCATCACTCACTGGGGAATGCAGGTACATCCAGATGACAGGTCGTAGATAGGACGAAATACGCGCTATCCTCGATCCCACTGCTAGTCACCATCCACCAATCAATTTGCTTGATCTGATATAATAAAATCCCATTCATTGATTACGAAGAAAGATTTACTACTACACAAACTAGTATCAATGTTTACGTCTATTAGCCTAGTTTAGAGAATAAAAGAAAAATGGAATTTGTTCTACAAATCACATCATACTGAGTGTGTAACCACAAGCTTGGAAATAAACAAGGCATAATAAAGTAATACAAATGAAGAAAGATACAAGGTTATTCATGTGCAAGTAAACAAACTGCGTAGGTGTTTGGATGTTTATTTTGTTTATATGTGTACACACATTCAGCCTCTTGTTAGTAAATAAAGTATTTTGTTTTCTACAAAAAAAAACCTTCATTAATACCTTATTCAGTGGAGATTAGTCAAGATGACTTTTGTATTGATTCTGAACTGAAGGGTAGTCAAGTGTTTTTTGACAATAAAAGTAATAGTTCTTGCCTAAAATACTCTTTTTATGACTTGTGTATTTTGTAATCTTTAAGGAATAATGAAAACTTTAAGATGTTTAAAATTAATCAGGTTAATTATTTATAAAATGACTGCGTTGTAAAATAAAATAATATTAATGTGAACACTACTCGGATGACAAGATTTGTGCATGATTGGTTTACTAGCAGGATGCTGGTCAACCCTTCGATTGGGCTGGGTATGACATCCAGCTGACGTACCCCTGAAGGTTGTCTAGTAAACCCC